CGATTCCGATGTACTTGCCGACTATGTTCTGGCGTTAATCAGGACCGATGCTCCCGATGAGGATATCCGGAAAGCTTCGGTGGATAACTTGGAGGATTTCCTTCGTGAACGTTAGTTTTTTTCTTCTTTTTTGCGCTACCGGATTTGGGATGAGATGGCATCACTGTATGACCGGTTGAATGGCTTCATCTTGCTGACGTTCCTCTGTTATCTTCGGGTAATGTACAGACACGGTGAATTTCGTCGACGAGCTCTTCGCGACCTTTGCTTCTAAACCGCAACCTGCTGCTGCTGCCCAACCGTCATATGCGCAGGGCCAGTCGCAGGATGCGCCCGCTCCTCAGGACCAGCAGCAGCAGCAGCAGCAGCAGCAGCAACAGCAACAACCGAGTGCATTCAATCCTCCGACCGGTCCTTCGAAGGGTCCCTTCGGAGCACAGCAGATGGGCAACAATTTCCCCGGACAAGCGCCGGGTGGTGATAACCAGCACAATTTCAACCGCAAGCGTACGTTCCAGGAGGGCTTTCAGATGGACGTGGACCGCGAAGAAGTCCCGCAGAATCGCAATTACAAGACTCCCCGCCGGGGACGTGGTGGTGGCCGAGGGGACTGGATGGGTGGCAGGGATGGTCGCGCAGGAGGGCCCGGGCAACAGCAACCACACACCTTCAACCCTCAAGCCCCGGGATTCGTCATGCCCCCCACGTTCCCGCCGTTCGATCAGAACGATCCCATGGCGGCGATGATGGCGCTACAGAGTATGGGTTTCCCCCAGATGCCGGGAATGCCGCCGATGCCGATGCCACCTGCGGGCGCTGGGCAGCAGCCGGGTGAGATGGTGCCGAAGAGCTCGGAGCGGTGTCCTTTCTACGAGACGCAGGGGATCTGCTACCTTGGGACTACGTGCCCGTACCAGCATGATACTGCGGGCGGGGCGTCCAAGACGGATGGTATGTATTTGACTTACCTTCTAAACGGCGTGTGTGACTTAGGACTGATTTTCTGGGAGGCGCAGAATACGATCCCAAGTCTTCGAGCATTGTTACGGACTACCAGAGACGATCGGATGGGCCGCCTATGCGGGGCGGGGACCGCGGTCGTGGCCGTGGCCGTGGCGGCGACAGAGGTGGATTTGGCGGCCGAGGACGTCGGTCCGAGTTCTCCTCTGCCGGTCCCAACGAGGACACTTCGATCACGACGATCGTCGTGGAGCAGATCCCCGATGACAAGCTCGATGAGGCGACGGTCCGGGAGTTCTTCTCGCAGTATGGCGAAATCGCGGACCTGTCGTTACAGCCACACCGGCGACTCGCGCTGATCACCTACGAGAACCACGCGGCGGCCAAGAGCGCCTGGTCCAGCCCGAAGGTGATCTTCGATAACCGGTTCGTCAAGGTCTACTGGCACAAGCCCAAGGGCGACCGGAATGGGGACTCCCGGCCTCACCATCACGCCGGCGCGGGTGGCGGCGAGTCGGAGGGCCCGGTTTTCAACCGGGAGGAGTTCGAGAAGCAGCAGGAAGAAGCCCAGCGCGCCCACGAGGAGAAACTCAAGAAACGCAAGGAAACCGAAGAGGCCAAGCAAGCCCTGGAACGACAGCGCGACGAGTTGCTTAAGAAGCAGCAGGAAGAGAGACAGCGACTGATGCAGAAACTCGGCGGCAGCGGCGCCGCCAGCAGCAGCAATGGCGACGCTACCGGCGGTGGCGGCGCGTCTCCCGACGGAGGAGACGGCCGGTCCCCGTCGGCGCAACCGGAGCATGTCAGTGAGCAGACCAAGCAGCTTCGGGCGCAGCTGGCCGCGCTGGAGGCCGAGGCCAAGAGCCTGGGGATCGATCCTGCTGGTGGTAGTGGTGGTGCTTCGGGGCCGGGCTACCGCGGTCGCGGCCGAGGCGGCTACGGCCGAGGTGGATTTGCCCCTCGTGGCCGAGGCGGCTACGATCCCTACTATCGGGGCGGTGGTGGCTACCGTGGTCGTGGTGGCATGGCCGGTCGTGGCGGTGTGCTCCGTCTGGATAACCGACCCAAGCGCGTGGCTGTCTCCGGGGTGGAGTTCAACTCCGAGAAGGACGAAGCCTTGCGACAGTTCTTGATTGTAAGTGTTCCTCCTCAAGCTGTGCCCCGTCATCCCATCTGGTCATTCTAGTTACTTACATCATATAAAGGGCGTCGGCGAATACTCCTCCATCGAACCCAACCCCGACCAGTCCGACTCCCTCATCGTGGCCTTCAAGGAACGCTACCAAGCCGAGAAGTTCATGTTTGGCCCTCGCGACATCCCGTCCGTCGGCCAGGTGGAACTCGCCTGGGTGCCCAATCCGCCCATCTCGTCGTCCTCTCTGCCTCAACCTGGCGGTGGTGGTGGCTCCGACACCAACAAGACCGGCTCGGACGAAGATACTTTGATGGACACCGCGCCGATTGCGCCGGGGGTGCCAGATCAGAGCTCCGGCCGGAAGGACGGGGGCCATGATGTGGACTACGATGTTGCGGAGATGGACGATAGCTGGGGGGTAGAATGATTTGACCGGTTGGTGTTTTGATAGGGTAGTCGATTTGAATTGATGTTCTTAGATGGGAGCATTTAGCTGAGCTGAGTTGATACTCTGGAATGTGGGTTCCGTTTTGGGGAGATAAAATATCAAGAGATTTGAGCCCTTTGTTTGAATGTGAACGGACGAATCTAGATGGGCGGTTGTGGCTTTTGCTGCAACCTGAGAGAATTGAGAGCCTTCTTCCAGGCCTCTATACCAGAGGCTGTGGCAATGCATATCCTGCTAGCTATATCGGACAAGTTTATGTATGATAGGGCAAGGATAACTGGTGTTTGGTAAGACATAACCTGTCTTATATGGTGGAGAAATTTACCATGTTAGGGCTATATATAAACTATCACAATGGACCTGAACAGTGACAGACTCTCCAAAGGCATCTTACCAACTTGCCTTTGGCAGTAAATACCAGGCCCCTCCATAGAACCTACTCAGGAGTCAGGCAATTTCCAGTCAATGTTCAGTCACCATGTAATCTAAGTAGTTGGACCCAAGCACATGCTTAGTCACAACAGGATAGTTATTTAACTAAATAGCCAGACCTAACTAACCAACTCACCAACTTACTATAAGGGTACTCCACGTGCCAATACCTACACAGGGTAGCTCTTCATTCACCTTCTTCTCCCTGATATCGAGTATACCCCCAGCTACCAGCGAATCTCCCACCTGCTCCCTGCGCAAAACCCTCTCTCGCCATGGCCCCCTTTATCCCACCCACCACCAGTTAAAACTGCTATCAACCCTCTATCAGCACGCAGGGACTGAATCCCCCCAAAGTCGCCGTCACATGCACCACCTCCCGGCCGCCTCCAATCTAGACCTGAACCCCGAGAGTAGATACCATCGACTCCGACTCCGCGAGACCGACGATCTCGTCACCGGATTCGACACCCTGCTACATCTCCTCCGTAACCCGGCCGCGGCGCAGGATGTGCGCCATCTAGAGGTGCATGGAACTCGCGAAGTTACAGATCGCGAGGACCCGGATTTCCAGAGGCCCCCGAGTGAGACGCGCACGCTGGCGGAAGCAGACTTACAGAACTTGGGGGCCGCTATCGCCAAAGCTGGATTCACTGAAGGCGCTGAGCCGCAGATGCTGCTGAATATCCTACTGCAAGACCCTGCAGGGAAAAAGCTGTCTGTGACACCCCAAATCCTTTCTCTCTTCCTTTTCCTTCAGACGTTGACTAAGTCATTGACCATTCACCAGACAATGCTCTACGTATAGCGGTCATATCGCATTCAAGCAAGCCCTTGCCGCACTCCTGATTGCCATCTCACCCAAGCTGGAGTCACTGGCCTTCTACCACATCGGCGAATACGACACCGCCGCTCCATATTTCTGTCTTGTGACTCTACTTCGTCGGGCAGGTCGGACCTGCATGACGCTCCCTTACCTCCAGAATCTCCGGAAAGTCACCTTCCTCCCCGACCACGACTCGCCCGACAACGACGGACTCCATTACATCCTCGAGTCGTATTACCACCGCATCAACCTCGTGCGGCGCCTGCCGGCGCTCACATCCGTCGCCTTCACGCTCGCGACATGGAACAACGAGGCTGGGATCCCCCCTCCCCCGAACTCTTCGAATTTCAGCGAGCTGTGCTTCACGCACTCCCTGATGCACGAGGCAGATCTATGCTGTCTCATTGATTCCGCCAAGGCATTGCGCAAGTTCACCTATACCATCGGCGGACGAAAGCTTCCGGAGGGCGGTAAGATAACGGTCAACGTGTCGCCGCTTTTCCGCAGTCTGTGGCGGCATCCTTTATCGTTGGTTGTACCGTACTCATATGTATATCCTAAAGCAAGTGTCGATGACTCGATGTCCTTAAGGTTCATTTAGTAGAAAGCTTCAGCCAATCAGCGTTCGTCAACTGTGGACAGGTCCTCATACTTCTGAAGTACCTACTGTATAGTATTGCGACGCGAACAAAGAACTGCCTAGACCCAAGATGTACTTAACTTGCTGAAAGCACCATCTAAACTGTCTTAGGCGATATACATCTCTCTCTGGCCAGAGACCTACGCAAGCGTCAGTCAGCATTTTACTTTGATCGTCAACAAATGGTTGGGAAGGATTCAATTCTACCTCACTCCTTTTCTCGTTGGGGCCAACCATGTCACCCATGCGCTTAGTCACGATCTCGATAGTCAACCCATCCTCCCGTCACGGGTACAGATATATAGATCAACAGATACCTCGGTTCACGACCAGCCACTAGGTATCATACCTACCAACCTATAAACATACATACCCATCAAG